GAATCCCAGTGCTCTGTGATCTTGGGAAAAATATCTAATATATCTGAGACTCACCTTCTCTGTAAAAAAAAAAAATAATATATATATATATAGTAGTTCCAATTTCGCAGGGGTCCTGGGAAAACAAAATGAGATAATGCAAGTAAATCATGTATAATGATGTCTGACACATGGCAAGCACTAACTAGTAGCTGCTCTCATTATTGCAATTATTATTATCAATTAATCTGGAAAGATTATAACAAGACTTTATATTTGGTAGGTGCTTAACAAAATACATTCAAAATCTCACTTCATTCCTACTCTGATGGTTATAATGTATCTAGAACAAGTATCAGCTCCATTTTACAGTTGAGAAATAGGCTCAGAGAGAAAAATGTCTCTTACGAGCTATGGTACTATGAATTACTTTTCCCAGCTTCATATCTCCCCTAGATGACTATATAATTGAGTTAGATGGGAAATTATTATTATCAGAATTTATAAGAAACATGATTAAAGTATATAGAATTAATTATGTAAAATGCTTTTTGCAGATTTTGAAAATGAGCCAAGAAAAAATTGAAATCTTTGAAAGTGAGTCATCAGAAGGAAGGAGAAGGCAATTGACATCCGATTTTAATATTATACAGAAGGCTTTGAAGGTTGAAAGTGAGGTATTTTGCCACTCAGGATGTTATTTCCCTCTTTTTGCATTCCTACTTTAGGGATTTCATGTTACCATTTAGTTTGACTTTAAAATAAATCGTAGCTATAGAATATGTGTTTCTGTTAGTAATAATGGGGTGAGTGTCCTTTCCACAAGTTGAGTTCCAGCACCAGCCAAAGAGGGGCCTTTAAGTAGCAGGTATTTGATTATTATGGTGGTCATAGAGTCATGGACTTGTCTCTCCTTTTAACTGCTTGTCCTACCATCTTGGAAAGGTCTATCAGGAGACAACCAGCCTATATTTGGAAGAGAGACCTGGAAGTGAGTCCATGGAAGTCTAGATCACCAATTTAGAGGATGGTGACTCTTAATCAGTTTGCAGGGTGGGTGACAGCCAGTGCATTGCCCCAAATCCCATCCTGATGACCTACAGGAATTTTTAATGCAATGAGGTAGGAAACTGATACCCCTTGCCCTCTTCCTGTGGTTTTGGGTGGCCACTCTCTATTTTTTCTCCTTTTTGCCCAACGCCTTCCTCATCAACACTCTCTTCCCCTTCTGATTTCAAGGTTTTGGGAAAATACCAAGTAACTCCTCTCCTAAAGTAAATTTCATATCACCTGTTCCCTTCATAGGGCACCACAGATTCTCAGGTCCTAGTCGTCCACCAACCAAACTGTATGTTCCATGTCATCAGTGTAGAAGTTTGATAAGAATCTACATATAACTGAAGTGTTTGCTCTCACGGATATAGAGCTTCTGAAAAATCAGAGGCTTAGAGGAAACCCTAGTTGATTAAGTCACTGAATATACATTATTAAGTAAGGCAGCATAACTTGTAGTTAAGAACACAGAGTTTGAAGTTGGTCAGACAGTTGAATCTCAGCTTTACCACTTCCTAGCTTTGTGAATTTAGGCAGGCCACTTATACTCTCTGAGCCTGTTTCAGTAACCCAACTGCATGGGGTTGTCACAAAATTAAAGGCCTGGTTGTTCTGTAAAAGGTAACTTTAAAAAAAGGTACATGTTAAAACAGGTAATATAACTAATGCAGGAGTTGCTGAAGAATTTACCTCTCTAGAAGCCTTGCTGAAAGTAGGAATGACTCTAGAAGTCCAGTGAATGATAGAAACCAAAATGCTCAGTTTAATTAATTGATTTAAGTAAACTTTAATTACTAAGAAAGTAGTTCTTCCAGAAGAATAAGTTGGAATATTTAAAACACAAAAAATTTGTGAGAGTCATTTCAAAGATTCCTCTTTAGAACTAAGTATTATATATTTTATGCGGAAAGTCTTATTTTATTTATTATTAAATATCTCTATTTCTTAATCAGGGATTGCAAAAACCAAAGTCAGAACTTAGATGCCTTTATAACGAAATTCAAAGTCTTCCAGGGGCATCAAAAAACAGAGACTGTTTTTTAATAGCATATAACTTGCTACAAAGAGAGAATTCTGAATTAGAAACAAAGGTGAGACTGAATTAATTATTTGAATGTTCAGTGTTTGACTTTATCTTTTATTAGGATAAGATAAAAGGAAATTAATTTTCAGGAAGAGATGACTTGGAAATTGGGGTTTCTTTTATCAGTATAGAATAAATTGCCATATAGTGTAGGTTATAAGCCAAGCTGCATCTCAGAATAGACTTCAACCAGTACTTCACTCTTAGGATTACTCTGTGAATTTTTTACTTTAAATCAGTTTCCCAACAGCTTAATTTTTGGAGCACATATTATAATGTAAAAGGTTTACTTAAAAATAGAACTACCAAATGATCCAGCAATTCCGCTATCTGGTTATATACCCAAAACAATTGAAAACAGGGTCTTGAAGAGATAATTTGCACACCCATTTTCATAACAGCATTATTCACAATAGCTAAAATGTGGAAGTAATCCAAGTGTTCATTGATGGATGAATAGATAAGCAAATTGCGGTATGTACACACAATGGAAAGTTATTCAACCTTAAAAGAGGGAAATCCTGCAATATGCTACAACATGGTTGAATCTTGAGGACATTATACTAAATGAAATAAGCCAATCACAAAAACACAATACTGCATGATTCCAATTATGTGAGGTACTTAGAGTAGTCAAAATCATAAAGACAAAAAGTGTAATGGTAGTTTCAGGGGCTGGGGGAGAGGTCGAGTTAATTATTAAACAATAACAGGTATAGAGTGTGTTTTATAAGATGAAAAGAGTTCTGGAGATAGATGATGGTAATGGTCGCACAACAATGTGAATGTATTTAATACCACTGAACGGCACACTTAAGTGTATAAGGTTAAGATGGTAAATTTTATGTTATGTGTATTTTACCACCACCCCCAGAATTCAAAACAAACAAAAGTTTACTTAAATGTCTTCATCCTTAAACCTTCAAATCAAAGCATTTTTTTTCAGTTATACTGAAAATTAGGTTCATACTCAGAATTAGGAAAATGTTTAAATATCCTGACCCCAATGTGTTCCCCAAGTTTAAAAATGGCTGCCAGACTAGGGTTAGATGGAGAGGTTGCCTGCAGGGTGATTCCTGGAGTCCCACTTACCATTAACTACTCCTGGCTGAAAATTCTCTTCCTCAGTTACTCTTGGTCTTGATTAAAATGGTAGGAAGGAATGAAGGCTTGAACACACAATTAAAATATATTGGGTTGTATTTCCATACCACATGTGAAATGGAGGACTAAGTCCAGGCCTCATTTATCCTCTCTGAAGTTGTTATCCTGAAAGCAAGGTGCAAGTTGTTGAGGGATTGGGACATAGATCAAATAGTATGTGACCTAGGGAGGGAAAGGTCCAGAACATGGGTTTGCTACCTGCAAAGGTGGATACATGGGGCACATCCTATAACTAAGCTTTATTTGTGGGACTTTGTCAGCAAAGTGAATTATCATCACACTGTACAATTAAAGGATCTTGTCTTATGAAATATCACTGGACAGCACAACACAGAAGATGAACTGAGGCAACAGGAATATAATGTAAAAATGAGAGATCCAGATCACTATCCTGGTAATCTGGCTCTCCCTTGTTCTCTCTTTTAAAAAACATTTTATTTTGAAATAATTTCAGACTTACAGAAAAGTTGCAAAAATAATACAAAGAATTTCCATGTACCTTCACCCCTTCAGTATTAGTATGGTACCACATTTGCTTTATCACTCTCCCTCTCTCTCCCTTTCTCCAAAAATACCCTTCTTTAAAAATCATGGATTTATGCATCCTTATGCCTATGGTAAATGGATTAGATTACATAACGACCCCAAAGTGTTAAGTTAAATTAGAAGAAGACTTCAAATAGGATGTCAATTTATATTAATTGTCAATAATTATTTAAGCATTTAATGGACTCGGTGTACTTTCTCATAATTATATATTAGAGTATACAAAATAGGTTATTTGTCTTCTCACTTTACAGGTCTTGAAGGTTTCACAAGAATTTGAACAATTAAATCATTTTATTGTAGGGAGAAAAACTGCACCTGCTAATTTAATTACAAGTGAAAATATCTGTAAAGATCTTGTGTCTAAACTACCAATTTTGGAAGTAGAGATTCAAAGCCCAAAGGAAGAGAGGAACTCTGGTAAATTGAGAAAGTCCCATATCACATTAATTATTTGGGGGGTACAATTACTGTATTTGGCTTGATCATTGTAAGAATTTGACATTCATTTCCAAATGATGTGAGTGGAAAAATTAATTATAAGCAAGCATTCCCCCAAGGAGTTTGTCTTTTGATATATTATTACATTTTTAAACCTTTTCTTGCTTTTTAAAATAAATTTGTGCTTTTTGTGGAAAATTTGGAAAGCATGGAAAAATAAAAGGAATGATAATAACCCATAGTTTCAGTAGGGAAATTTGTTAATGTCCTAACTTAGACTATATTCTGCCAAGAGGATTTTTGCTGTTTTTATTTAACTTTGTATCTGATAATCATTTTGATAACCTTTTCTTTCTTCCTTCCTTCCTTTCTTCCTTCCTTTCTTGTTAATCTTGCCCTCAAACTCTTGTATTTCTGCTTTTTCAACAGAAGTATCTTTCACAGCTTTTGAGACTTTTGGCTAATGCATTACTCTGCTTTGGCACAAAAACTAATAGATGCAATCAAATTTTGTCTGGGCAAAATCCTAGAACTAGATCATCAGAAGAAACAATAGATGGCAATTTTGATATGTATACTATATACTGAGGGATACATCATCAGTGAACTAGGAAAATATGGTCTAGGTGCAGCCAAAGTTCTATCTTTGTAAACATCTTAACGTAGAAGGAGGGTTTTTGTTTTTTGGGATTTTTGCTAGTTTTGGACTGCTGAATTTTATGCTTTCCTAAAAGTTGCTTTTAACTTTAGAGTGTGCTCTGAGTTCAAGATTCACAATCATGAAACCTAGTTGCAGAAGTGAGAAAAGCATATTAGAGACATGGTGGGGAACAGGCATGATAGTGGTCACAAGAGCAAAGAGCCGAGAAGGTCGGTCACAGCATATAGGTTTGCTATAGGGGAAAAAGGAAGTCTAGTTCTTGAGCATTAGAATGGTGTACTACCAGGTTTTTAAGGGAGATTGTTCTAGTATCTCTAGAAGAGATAAATTGAAGAAGAAAAACAGACCTATTAATCCAGATATGAGCCACAGATGAAGAGATAGTGGCCTTGATTGAGTAGGTGGCAATGGAGTTGAAATGGCCACTCTGAACATTCTTCAGAGAAGATGTTGACGTTAATTATCAGAGCTGACAAAAATCCACCCAGCTGACTTGGGATCATTGGTAGGGATACTTGCCACAGGGAGCAAGGCTGTGGCCTTTATTCCATTGGAGGTGGGGAACCTTGCCATGATAAAGATCCTGGACTTCTCTCTAAAGAGCTCCTTGCTGCCACCTGTTTCCATTACATGGTCCAAATTACTTCCCATCACTGGGACTGTGAGAAGTCTACGTATCTGCCCTATGCTTCCCTTATCACCTGTTTTTGGAATGTTTCCTCGCTTTGTATCTCCTGTGCCCCACTTCACAACCTCCATTTATCTCAGATCCATTACACAATCACATTTGACGGTAAAATTTGTATCTACCATGTGCCAGGTACTGTAGGGAGATACTGAGGATACGAAATAAGATATAGCTCCTACCTTCATGGTCCATATAGCCTGTGGGGGGAAGATAGACAATTAAACAAAGCAGTATTGGATACTATGGGAGCACAAAGGAGGTGCCCTGGTCCAGGCTAAGAAACCAGAAAATATTCTTAAAGGAAGTAACAGACTGAGTCCTGAAGTATAGATAACCCAAGGCCAAGCAAAAAGGTGAGAGAGTAATTTTCAGGGGGAATATGACATGTGCAAGAGAAGGCATGATTTGTTTGAGGAACTCAGTGACCTCGGTGGAGCTAAAGCACAGAGCATGAAGAGAAGAAATGGGGAAGGAGACGATGAGAGTGAGGAAGTATGCAGGGACCTGATCACGAGGGAACATGAGTACCCGCATGGGGAAGTTTGGACAATAGGAAACTACCGCAGGGTTTAGTAACATGGAAGAGACCAAAATAGATTTCGCCTGTTCACTTGGCCTGCTGTGTGGATAATAGATTGTTAGTATAGGAATGAAGGTAGTGAGACTAGTTTGGAGGCTGTTGCTATAATCTGGTGAGAGAGGAGAGTGTTGGTGAGGATAGAGAAAAGTGGATGGAAATGGATCAACAGGACTTAGGGACTAATGAGTATAGGAAGCGAGGAAGAAGGTATGGTAGGTGGGGACTTGGGTAATAGCAAAGGTTAAGGAAGACTTTCAGGTTTCTGGTTTGATGGTGTTATCCATTGAATTAGGGAACACAGTTCTGAGGGAAGCGGGAAAGGAGTGCAACTTTTGATACGTTGACTTTGAAGTGTCTTTAAAACAGCCATGCCAAGAGCAAAGCCTGGGCTGGAGGTAAATTTGAGAATCATCAATAAGTAGATGGTAGCAGAAGTCCTGTGATGGATAAGATGGTCCCGTAAGTTGCTTGATGAAGGTACCCAAAGGCAGAAATGTAAGGGAAGCCTCTCTATAAGAGACAAAAGGAATTAACCCCAAAGTTAACGTAGACAAAACAGCCAGAGAAGTAGAAGAAAAGTCAAGAGAGTGTGTGTTACAGAAGCCAGATTACAGAGTGTTTCAAGAAGAAAGAAATAGTAAATAGTGTTATGTACTGCCAAGAAAATAAAGAACAAAAGGTGACTACGTAATTCAGGATTAAGAATGTGGTTGAAGACTTTAGTAAGAGTTGTTCCATTGAAGGGCAAAAAACAAATGGCTTCCTAGATCACATCTCATGGGATGGTAAATGGGAGTGAACTGAGGAGTGAGTGGAATTTGAGGAAGTAAAAATGGTGAGTGTGGATGCCTTCCAAAAAGTTTGGTTGTAAAGGAAAGAAGGGAATATGGAGCTGAGGTAAGAGGAAATGTGTTGTGTTTAACGACTGAGCCACCCAAGTGCCCCAAAATGTGTTGTGCTTAAATGCTGAGAAAGAGTCCCCAAATGGACAGGTTTAGGATTCCAAATACCAGAGGAGGACTAGCCTTAGGAGATGGGCCACCTGGTCCATTATAACAGGAGGAAGAAAGGGAGAATGGACAGAGATCCAAGTGAGTTTTTAACCTGAGAGGAAATCAAAGAACTTGTTTGATAGTTTGTGTCCTCTGTGAAGTAGGAAAGAAAGAGAGTAATAGAAATGTCAGAGTGAAAAAAGTTTGAAATAATAACTGTGGCAATTGGAAAGGAAAGCTTACTAGGGAGGCCAGGTAGTGTTGAGGGCCCAGTTAAGGCTAGAGACTGTGACTTTGTATGGCATTTGTCTTTGAGAATATGTGGTATGGAGGGCAACATTTAGTTTAGGCATGAGAAGACAGTTGGATTTGTCCAGGGCTAAGGTTTTGCCACATGAATGCAGTGGAAGGACAATGGGGGGAAGAAAGCTGAACATTTTATTTAGACAGTGATTAAAATAATGAACACTAGGCTTGGGGTATCGGGGTGGCTCAGCTCAGATCTTGCTCTCAGAGTCATGAGTTTAAGCCCCTGCACTGGGCTCCATGCTGGGCATGGAGCCTACTTAAATAATAATAATAATAATAATAATAATAACAACAACAACAAAAACAAACACTGGACTCTACATTGGATAAAGAAGCAAGTAAAGGGAGCTGATAGAAAAAGAGACAAGGAATTGAAGATATTTATGTAAAAATTATGTAAAAAGGAAAAGCTGAAATCTGGATATCTAATTTTAGTTATTTCAGAAGTGAAGTGTTTGCTGCTGATACAAGCCATGGTGTGGTTATTCAAATAGTTGGCAAAGAGGGAGACATGAGGAGATAACTGGAGATAAGGAGACTGAGGAAGTGAGATGCCAAGGCATTGGTGGGTGGTCTGTATGGTCCTTGGAATCTTCCAGGCTGTTGGCAGGACTTGGGGTGAAGAAGATGCCAGAAAGCCATGAGCAAACATCTTCCACTGAAAAGAAGTAGAAAGTGTTAGAGCACACCTAGCATGGTCCCGTGCACATAGAAGCTGCTCCATAAGCCAAGTTGATGGATTCTTGTAGTACATCTCTTCTAGATTTTAGCTCCTTTAAGGTAATGGACTATGTCTTGTTTTTCTGTTGTGTATGGTGCTTTTCTTATAGAGCAACGAATCTTACAACAGGAGGGACCTGCAAATCTTCTTCTAGTGGTTTTCACACTTCAGCATTCCAAGACTCTAGGAGCTCTGTGGGCGGCGGGGAGGGCTCAGAAACTGCCTTTGGAGATGAGGAAAGATTGATGAGTGGGACTGGGAGCCCTCCACTCACATTTCAGCTGGAGAAGACCCACTTTATCTGTTTTATATGTGGAATTCTGTATAAGATTTTACTTCAAGAAAGGGGCCACAGCTAAAATGTTTGAAAACCACTGCTATTTAGCTAGTCTTCTTCTATCACAGAAGAGGTCTCTGAGACCAAGAGAACTGAAATGCCTATTCCAGTTACAGTCACACACTTAGCAAGTTATCAGCGAGACTGCAGGAAGTCCCAAGTCTCCTAACTCTGAGTCAGAGGTTACCACTTTTTCTACTTTGGAGAGGACATAGTCACAAATATCTCAAGGGCTAGAAGGTGCTGGGACACTTGGGTTCTATGTAGTTGCTATGAAAGTGAGCTTTATGGTATTAAAAACTGCTCAGGACTCAGTCTTTGTATATGCATAACATGGGGTGGGATAAGGGAATGAAGTCCAATCTGTCTTGTTCTGGACTCTCTCCAGTGTCTAGAACAATGCCTTTAAAAATATTGGAATGAATAGAGATTTCCTCCTACCCCCACTGTGTACTTGCAGTAGAACCCAAAGTTGGACTTCCAATGGCAGCCCTAAGCTTACAGAGCCCAGCTGATCTCAGCCTGGGTTTGCTTTGTTAGGAAGCTTGGGCCCGAGAGCAGTTGGTAGCTTCCCTTGACCTTAATGCCTTAATGAGCTGTATTTTTTTCTAACACACTCTCATTCACCATCTCCTTGCATTCTTACTACCTTTATCAAGAAGTATGTGGTAAGTGTTCAAGTTGACTTATGTTTCCAGTTCAACTTGACAGTGAATTTATATCCATTTCACAGGCTACTGATAAATTTTTCCTCTTCCTCTGAACTATTTCTTCCCTAGTCCAATCCATTCGGTGAATAGCCCCTCCATTCACACAGCTGATCAAACCAAAACCTAAGGAGTCATTGTTGTTTCCTCTCCATATCTAAACTATCAACAAATTCTGTCAGTTCCACCATGAAAATATAGAATATTTAATCTGTTTATTTCTACTATATCTCCACTGCTACTACCCTACTCCATGACACTGGTATCACTCACTTAGACTATCACAATATCTTCTTAACTAACCTCCCTGCTTCCATACGTCTTTACCAATCCATTCTCCATAGAGCAGCCAAAGTAGTCTTTTTCTTTAATATTTTATTTATTTATTTGAGAGAGAGAGAGAGAATGAGAGCACAAGAGGGGGTAGGGTCAGAGGGAGAAGCAGATTCTTCGCCAAGCAGGGAGCCTGATGCGGGACTCGATCCTGGGACTCCGGGATCACGACCTGAGCCGAAGGCAGACGCTTAACCAACTGAGCCACCCAGGTGCCCCAAAGTTTGCCTTTTGTTTCTAAATTACACATTTTCTCTTATATCTTTTGAAAGGATAAAGCCTGTTCTTTTTGGAGGGCATTTATTTAATGGAAATTGCCCTCATGTATCAAGAGCACTTTAAATTCCCATATTCCAAGATATTGCTAATTCTCCTTAATCAACTAACAAATTCATGTGAATGCTGTTAATTTATTCAGACCATTAATGAAGATGTAAAATGGCATCAGCCCCAGGATTGTGCCCTAGAGAGCGCTTGCTCATCGTTCCCTCCAAGTCAGAGAAGACTTACCGACTGCCTAAATATGGCTTTATAGGCACATCTCATAGGCCCACCTGAGAGGAAGACCATTTAAACTTTATCTTTAAACTATGGAAACATAACGAAGGCTACTTCTCTTCTTCCGTGTCAGCATGGCCACTATGCAATTATAGAAGGAAATTACATTAGGTCTGGCTAAGTTTACTCTTTATAAAGTCATTTATCCTTCTAAATGTATCAAGCACCTGCATAGATGTTAAGCCCAAATGACCAGTTCATATTTGCCATTTTTTTAAAGAAAGCTTTTTATTTTTAGGTACTTGTAGATTCACAATGCATACAGTTATAAGAAATAATAGAGAGGTCCCATGAACCCTTTAATCAGTTTCTCCCATTGGTAACATCTTATAAAATTATAGTATAATATCATAACCTGGATATTGACATTGATACAGTCAAGGTACAGAAAATTTCCATCACCACAGAGATCCTTCCTGTTGTTCTTTTATAGACCCTCCCTCCCAACATTCCTCCCCCCTCACCTACTTCTTAACTCTAGGCCCTAGTCTAGTTCAAATTAGTCTATTCTCCATTTCTGTAAGTTTTTCATTTCAAGAGTGTTATATAAATAGAACCATACAATATGTAGCCTTTTGGGGCTGGCCTTTTTTCACTCAACATAATTCTCTGGAGATTCATCTAGATTTCTGTATCAACAATTGGATCCTTTTGACTGTTGTGTAGTATTCCATAGTATGGCTGTTCCACAGTTTAACTGTTCATCCATGGAAAGACATCCAGTTTATTTCTAGCTTGGGCTGTTTTGAATAAAGCTGCTATAAATATTCAAGTTTTTGTATGAATGTAATTGTTCATTTCTCTGGGATAAATCCCCAGGAGTGCAATTTCTGGCTCACATGGTAACCATATGTTTAGGGGTTTTTTGTTGTTTTTTAAGACATTGCTAAACTGTTTTCCCCCAGTGGCTATATCATTTTACATTCCCACTAGCAATATAGGAGTGATCCAGTTTCTCTGCATCTTCTCTAGCATTTGGTATTGTCACTTGTAAATTTTAGCCATTCTGATAGGTGTATAGTGGTATCTCGTTATAGTTTTCATTTGCATTTTCCTGAAGGCTAATGATGTTGAGTGTCTTTTTGTGTGCTTATTTTCATCTGTCTGTCCTCTTTAGTGAAATCTCCTTTTGTGTCTGCCTATTTTCTAACAGGTTTGTTTTCTCACTGTTAAGTTTTGAGAGTTCTTTATGAATTCTAATATTAGTCCTTTGTCAGATATGTGATTTGCAAATATTTTTTCCCAGTCCATTGCTTGTTGTTCACTCTTTTACCAGGATTTTCTCAGCATGAAGTTTTTCATTTTGATGATGTATCAGTCTTTCCTTTTATGGATCATACTTTTGGTGTTAAGTCTCAGAACTCTGTTAGTCTTGAAGACTCTCCTGTGTTTTATGTATATTTTTACAATTTAAGTCCATTTTGCATTTGAGTTTTTATTTTCTTCCAAAATTTCCATTTGGTTCTTCCTTATATCTTCTATTTCTGTGCCAAGATTTTCATGTGTTTCAATTGTGTTCATAAGTGCTCATCAAAGCATTTTTATAACGGCTGATTAAAAATCTTTGTCAGATAATTCTGACATGTTGGTTTTATCATCTATTTTTACCTTTTTTCATTTTCCTGGGTTTTGGTATGAGGAGTAATTTTAGATTAAAATCTGAATATTTGGGGTATTATGAGACTCTAGGTCTTATTTAAGCCTTCAGTTTAACTGGCTTCTTCCGATACCACTCTGGCAGGGGGAGTAGGAGGGTACAATCTCATTACTACCCCAGGTGGGGGGTACAAGTCAAGCTTCCCCACTCAAACTCCATGGACACCCAAGGAAAGGGGGACTCCTCATTACTGCTGGTGAGGGTGGGAGGCCTCTGCTTATACTGCTCTGGCTGTGAGAGGGAGGAGTGCCTTATTACTGGTATCCACTGGGTCTCCATGATACCACATGGAGGTGGGTAAGTGTGGTCTTGTTAGTGAAAGTCCTTACTCTCCACTAGGCCTCCTCTGACACTACCCCAGTGGAAAGGGAGAAAGGTGTCTCCTCACTGCCAGGTGGGGGTGAAAGTCCGGACTCCCTGTGTCTATTACTGCCTGGCAGGGATGAAAGTCCCTGCTCCCTGTTGGCTTGTGACACCCCCCCGTGGGGGTGCTTCATTATAGCCTGGCGGAAGTGGGAGTATAGGCTCCCAACCTGACCTTGGCTGACATGGGTGAGGGTGGGGCCACAGTTTTTTTTCTGTGGTGTTTGGCCGCTGGAATAAAGCTGTTAAAACCCAGGAAGTTCACAGTCATGTCACTCCTCAGGTCCTGAGTACCCTAGTTGGTCTGCCTTCTCTGTATCTTTCAGAGTCTTCTTCTTCTTTTTTTTTAAGATTTTATTATTATTATTACTTATTTGACAGAGAGAGAGACAGTGAGAGAGGGAACACAAGCAGGGGGAGGGGGGAGTGGGAGAGGGAGAAGCAGACTCCCTGCTGAGCAGGGAGCCCGATGCGGGGCTTGATCCCAGGACCCTGGGATCATGACCTGAGCCAAAGGCAGACGCTTAATGACTGAGCCACCCAGGCGCCCCTCAGAGTCTTCTTATGTTTGTTTTATATATAATGCCTGGGCTTTTAGTTGTACTTGGTGGGAGAAACAGGGAAAAGTAGGTTGACTCCATTTTCCTGGAAGCAGAAGTCGGTTTTTCCATTTTAAAAATTATGAGGTATATGTTTGCATTTTCCCCAGTCTTCAAGTGTATCTGGCTTCCACTGGGAGTAGGAAAAGGAAAAGAGTTTATGGAGGATAGAAAAAATCATTGTTATTTTATCAGAAATTTATTTTTAAAACATTTTAGTCTTTCATATTGTTTTATATAGTTTGAGTATATTCTTTTTTTAAATCTTTTTTTAAAATTTTATTTGAGAGAGAGAGAGCAGGTGAGAGAGCACAAGCAGGGGGAGCAGCAGAGGGAGAGGGAAAAGCAGGCTCCCCACTGAGCAGGGAGGCCAATGCAGGGCTCAATCCCAGGACCCTCAGATCCTGACCTGAGCTGAAGGCAGACACTTAAACCGACCGAGCTACACAGGTGCCCTGAGTATACTATCTTTAAAAACCTGCTGAGGGTGCCTGGGTGGCTCAGATGGTTAAGCGTCTGCCTTCGGCTCAGGTCATGATCCCAGGGTCCTGGGATCGAGTCCCGCATCGGGCTCCCTGCTCCTTGGGAGCCTGCTTCTCTCTCTCTTTCTCTCTCTCTGTCTGTAATGAATAAATAAATAAAATCTTTAAAAAAAAAGAAACCTGCTGAGTTGGGGCGCCTGGGTGGTTCAGCTGGTTAAGCATCAGACTCTTGATTTCAGCTCAGGTCATGATCTCAGGGTCGTTGCATCAAGCCCTGTGTTGGGCTCTGCACTGGGCATGGAGCCTGCTTAAGATTCTCTCTCTCTCCCTCTGCCCCACCCCTCCCCTCCCTCTTGCACTCTCTCTCTCTCTCTCAAAAACAAAAACAAAAAAAAGAACCTGCTGAGTTCAAAATAAAATAAAATATTTAATTTTTTTTGTACAGTGCTAAAGGAATTGTAAATATAATTTTCCCCCTGTTATTTTCCAGTTTTTCCTATATATACATTTCCCATGGTATTATGTATGTTTATTCACATATACATATATATAGTTTATTGTTCTACCATTTTATTTTAATAAGTATTTTTCATGTTGATGAATTGTCTTTATACCACTTTCAAGTTGATTTATCTTTAATTCTCTTAGCCATTTCTGTGTCTCCATTTATTTATTTATTTTTAAAGATTTTATTTATTTATTTATTAGAGAGTGAGACAGAGAGAAACAGCATGAGAGGGGAGAGGGTCAGAGGGAGAAGCAGGTTCCCCGCCGAGCCGGGAGCCAGATGCGGGACTCGATTCCAGGACTCCGGGATCACGACCTGAGCCAAAGGCAGTCGCTTAACCAACTGAGCCACCCAGGCGCCCCTGTGTCTCCATTTAATCACTGCTTTAAATAGTATGCTTAGGAGCATTATTATACATTCAGCTCTTTTCTTCTTATGAATTATTCTGTTGCAGTAAATTCATTGGTATTCAATTATTCAGTCAAAGGATCTGAACATTTTTATGGCTCTTGATCTGATTTGCCAAATTGCCTTCTTGAAGAATTTGAGCACCGGCTATAATTTGTGAAGCATGCTGTCTAGGCTCTGAGGTGGCTGAAATAAATTTAAAATGAATGAATAAAAATAAACTCGGCATGTTTGTATCATCCACACTGGTACATTCCTTCCCATTGGCTTCTGCGGCTCACAGTCTCTTGGTTTTCCTCCTCCCTCTCCGGCTTCTCAACCTCCCCTCCTGGCTCTCATTCCTCTTGCTTGTTCCTTACAGGTCTTCAGGCGTCTGTCTACAATGGTCCTCCTTCTCTCACTTTCTCCCTTCTCCTTGGCTCCTGTTACCCGATCCCAAGGCTGCTGCTCACATTCTTCTGTATCTGTATGTTCTCCAGAGGCATCTCTCCAATCTATATTCACATTCCCCCTTCTTGGTCTACCATCCACGGCCTATTTGCCCCAGTCAGAAATCCAGGTGTCATCCATTATTCCTTTTTTTCCCCTCTCCTGTCACATCCAATTCATGACAAATTTTATCAATATTGTCTTCTAAATATCTCTAGAATTCACTGCTTGTTTCCATCCCCACCATCCTGTTCTAGTCATCATTGTTTATCACATGGACCACTAACAATCTCTGGTTTCCCACCACGTGGCACCCAAATGATCTTTCTAAAGGACATTCTTTTGCCTCTAGGCTTTTACCCATTTTATTTATTAAGTCATCCTGGAACACCTTTATTTTTTTCTGTTCCCACCTATACCAGCACCTTCACCCAACATACACACACACATACAAGTATGCACACACCTGGGGGCGCCTGGGTGGCTCAGTCCTTAAGCATCTGCCTTCAGCTCAGGTCATGATCCCAGGGTCCTGGGATCGAGCCCCACATTGGGCTGGCTCCCTGTTCTGCCGAAAGTCTGCTTCTCCCTCTCCCACTCCCCCTGCTTGTGTTCCCTCTCTGGCTGTGTCTCTTTGTCAAATAAATAAATAAATAAATAAAATCTTTAAAAAACAAAAAACAAGTATGCACACACCTGTACCTTTATGTTTGCTCGGTTTGTGCCTAGTCATCCATCAGGCCTCAGATTACTTACTACTAGTGTAATCTACTCAGTTATCATCCTTATTTCTCACTGAATTGTACACCCTTTAGGGCAGGGATTATGTCCTGTTGTAGCCCCAGTGCCTGCCAAAGTGCCTGGAGCTCATTGAGTAATTAAAAAAAAATCTTTACAATCTGTGTCTGCCCAGTGCCATACTTAATGTTGAAAAAGTGAAAAGCTCCCTTAAACTGGTAGATTTAGTATAAACAAAAATCTCTGATGTGTCATCTCCCTGAATGTGAGTAAAAAAAATATGACTCATTTGTTTTTAAATTTTATTTATAAGAGTAAGATAACTGTTCTGCTACAGAATTCAAGCTGAAAAATTTGCTTGAAGTACTGGTTGATTTTTTTTTTCCGTCCATATTCTGCTACTATAATGAGCATTTTGACAGTTTTCTGTTGTTATATTTGTACCAAGTCCTGAACAAGGAGAAAGTAAGCAGAAGGTAGTTGCAGAGGAGCCAGTAAAGGAGGACACTTTGCCAAGAGAGAGGCAGAAGGAGGACTCACCAGAGAACCAAGATATGAAGGCTGAAGGACAGCAGTTGACCTTGAAGCCTGAGGAAATCGTGAGGCTTAGAGAAGAGCTGAGTCCCTGCAGTCTCAGAGCTCAGGGGATAGTTCAGATGACAGTAGTGCCCAGGTAGGTGCTGTCAACACGCGCTCTTTCTAGGTCCATTTCTTCTGGCCAGCTGTGGACGTAAGCACCATTTTTATATCAACATTAATGTATGTTGTTAAGCAAGATCATCACCATGGCCTGAATGGTAATAAAATAGCAACCAGAATCGGAACTAAGCCCGTCAGCAGAGGCACTTTGTTCTAAAGGGTTCTTAGGCTCCGTTTAGGCTCAGCAGGAAGAAATGCTGATTGGTCCTCAACATCTGCCCTGGGGAGGCAGCATAGGGAGGGGCAGGATTTGTGCCACATTTTCTATTCATCGTGCCTGGCTTAGAATTACAAAATAGTTTGGGTGGGTAAAAGCCCACAAACTTGGAATCGTTTTAAGTTTGGCTTTTGCTATTTACTCAAGATCCACCTGCTGGAGAAATCAGGGAGTGACTGCCAACCACACCTCAGCTCTTACACCTCAATTTTGCAGGTTCCCTCTTGTACAAATTAAGATTTCCCTACACATACCTTTCTAGGAATTATCTTGAGATCCACAGAGGGAGAGGCCTTTGTACACATTCACAAACCAACTTTTTTTTTTTAAAGATTTTATTTATTTATTCATGAGAGAGAGAGAGAGAAGCAGAGGGAGAAGCAGGCTCCCAAAGAGCAGGGAGCCCAATGCGGGACTCGATCCCAGGACTCTGGGATCATGACCTGAGCCGAAGGCAGACGCCCAACCATCTGAGCCACCCAGGCGCCCTCACAAACCAACTTTAAATGACCGATAATACACATTTAAAAATGGCTTCAAGTATACATAGGAAAAAAAGGCAGAGTAATAGTAAAGGAAGTCAAAAGGATATTTGAAAAAAGATTCAAATATAAGGGTCTGAAAATGAGGCAAATCACAGTAAAGAAGGAAAATAGATCCCTGAAAGGAGATTCAGATACGTTTGAAAGAGAAGGGAGCCATTGCATTTATTCAGAAGACCAAAGGGGAGTATGACATCAAATGTTCAAAAAGAGGTTAATTTTAAATCCCCCAGACAGTCCCTTTATTGGGCAGTGAGCAGTGTAGGAGGCTTGGGCAGAGGCTGCACACTGTGGTCACAAAGATGATAAAATCTTGACTTATGAGCTTAAAATGATCAATGCACTTCTAGAACAATGAGTTGGAGAGTATGACAAGTAACATCCTGGTTCATTTATTAATTTTATTTAATGTACCCTTTCTCATTACTTGAAGAATCATCTGTCAATACCCAGGAGGGAGGTGAAATATATATAAACGATTAAATATATAAAAATTATATGGGGGCATCTGGGAGAAGAGCCACTTTGTGAAAAGACAAATGGTCCTATATACCACATAGCCTCTAGGGTTTTACTGAATTCTTGCAGAGTTAAGTAATTTTGTTCCATAGTAATGACTTTGAATGATTGAAAGAAGGGTAAGTTGCTCTTACTTGTTTATCTGACCGTTATTAATGGAGTATTTATGACGTGCCAGGCCCTGTGTTCGGACACATACCGCAGGAAACAAGATAGATGTGGGCCTCATGGGAAAAAATAACATATGTATATTTTGAACTTTACATGTCCCAAAGCAGTATCACACACACTATTTCATTTACTTCTTTAGGCAGGCAAGGAAGAAAAGACATTTTAGACAGATGTTTGGTTTTTTTCTTCAGGGTTCTGTGCAATGATAATTTCAGAACCTTTTTCTGTGTAGAGGTTACTTTGATGTACTGGTGGCTATAAATTGTTCTGCCTTTTAGTTCTTGTGTATGTTAAGTTTTTGGTCTTCACCCCTGTTGTCGGATTATTGTCGAGTGCCTAGCTGCTTATTGCTGTATCTTCTTAAATCTCATAACATACACATTTAAGCAACTATAGCTTGAGACCAGATATTAAACTTTAAAGAATGCATATAGTTGGTAAATACATAGAAAAAGAACTGTGAGAGCCTCTTTTATGAGTCAGGTGAGCTCTATTGTTCATATGTATTTGTGACATCATTTGTGACTGCTGATTGCCTTTGGTAGCTTAATTTCTGCTGTTCAGCAGCATTCCAGGTAAGGTTGTAATAGCTGAATTCAAGATTATTACTTCCCCAATGTTTATGAAACAAACTGGAATCACCAATAATTAGCTTAATTTTATAGGTTCAAAAATCTAGCTTCATGTTTGTCTGTGACATTATTGAATATTTGCTCTGTTCCAGGCACTATACTAAATACCTTGTGTGTATTAAGCAACACAACAAGACAGGATATTATTGCCACTTTACAGATGAGGAAACTGAGGCTTTAGAGAGGTTAAATAATTTTCCCAGAATGACACATTGTGGTGGAACCTGGGTCTGTCTACTCTAGAACTTGACCTCTTAACCCCTATGTCATTTGCTTCCCCTTGCTGAGAAATTCAAAGAAAGCATACAGTTCTCAAGTAAAGCTAATTTCGTAAGGAAGGCTGGCAAGCTGTCTCCCAAAAGCCCTCCAGGGTGTCTGTTATCAATTATCTTGGTGAATTTATTCAGGGTTTGGCCCTTAGGCTTGCAGCTTCCAAAACTTGTTGCATTAGTCCCCCTAGAATAGATCTGTGTCTTGGGGATAAACTCACATTAAACCAAACTTTCAAGACTATAGGGTAAGACTGGAATGTCAGTTAATTATTATCTGTAATAATTATAAATAACACTTGAACACGTTTAAATGAACAACACATTCACCTGTAGAGAGCTGAGAAAGACAAATCCAAATCTGAAGAATGTTTGACGAGTAGGGAGTCTGAAAAAGTAGACTTGGTTTGATGATTGACAGCTTCACAGGCTGGATAGCCTGTTCCATCCACATCCACTGGACGAGAGTATTTAAGTCTTGTAGGCTTTAATTGTTTCCACAAAAGGAATGATCTTGTCGTCGGGACCAGTATATGGCTTTGGTTCATATTAAATTTTTATTGTATGAAGATAATATTTAAAAATATTAAAAGCTAGATCTTAAGCCTATAAAATTAAGATTATTAATGGTTGTTCCAATTTGTTTCATTTTAATTCTTAAGGAATTATGAATTGAAGAGACATTATGTACGGATCATCTGGTCTTATGCCTTTAATTTGCAGATGAGTCAGCTGAGACTCAGAGAGAATAACTGGCTAAATAAATCTGTTGGTTGGTCAAGAAAGGACACTTAAGTACTTTACTTTGCACTCCTACATGGTTCCTAGTAGCCTGAGTGAGTCTAAATGCCTCTGTAATAACTTTCTGCCAGGAAGCAATTTACGTGGTGGGGAAAAAATAGAGACTCTTTATGTGGGCCACTTGATTGGCTAACTGGTAGCTTCTTTACTAGTTATTTGCCTTTCATGAAAAATAATTTGCATTTCTACTCTGGCTAAGTGACTTGACTAGAAAACGTAGGCAAGAAGAACTATTGTTCTGGCTTTTCTCATCTTCAAAACAGGCTAAAAACTTCTGTACATTGGTATAAAGGGGGCGCTTCTCTTATATATCTCTGGGCATGTTCAGTGGCCATCTGGACTACTGGTTACTAATTGATTATTAAAAGCTGCCATCTGATAGTTAAATAAGAAGCTAGACAGGTGATCAAGGGTTTCCAGGCTTCCGGAGAAATCTTGTTTTCGATGGACACAGAAGGCAGTTAAAATAAAACTGGGTAGCACCCACAGTACTTGGTAATGTTATTGAGTACTTATTGTGTGCTAGGCATTGTGCTAAATGCTTGCATGCATTATCTTACTTAACCTTTACTCCATCCAGCAGTTATCATTATTATCCCCATTTTCAGATGAAGGAAATGAAAAGCAGAGAAACTAACTAACTTCTTCAAGATAGATTCAGGACTGAAGCTAATTCCAAAGCTAGGGTTCTTAATAATTACATTATAATTCCATTAAAGAATTTTTTTTAGGGATCTTAGACACTTGAAGCTCTAGGATAAGCAAACTGGATTTAAACTGTCTTTTTGACTAAAACAAGACAGGAATTAAAGGGTTTTACAGGACTTGGGGAATTCTGTGTTACAATTCTGTTGCAAGCAAGAGAGAACTAGACTAATGACATGGGATTTCCAGTAAGTCATGGGCAGGAGGTACACTGGACCAGGACTCAAGAAACTCTAAATATATGTTATCTATTGCATTGGATAAGGTTGAATTCTTTATCTACCTAGCACACCTATGTGAGCCTATCTTTTAGAAAACCCCATGATTCCTCCTTTGGTCAAGGTGGTTTTATTGCCCTAGAGACCTGCAGGAGGGTGGTGTGGTTGTTGAACAGTAACTGAAGAAGAATCATGTGATAGTAACAGGAAAGCGATGAGGAAGACTGGGAATTTAAGATCTGCTAAATGTTCTCTTTCTTTTTGCCAACAGATACCACACACATATACACACACTCACACATACACACTCTCACACACTGTATACACATTCATACTTTCCTTCTTCACATATTGGCTCTTTGAACTCCCGATTTAAAGCATGTCTTACCCTAAAATGGTTCATGCTTCTGTTTCCCTTCATTGGTATGAAAAATAAGAAAGTTAGTTGTCTATGCTTAACTGCTTTGCTCAAATAATTTCGTTGATATTTTCACTCTAAAATAACAGGAGTTAAATTATATGAACATGTACCAAATGGCCATAAGTATAAAAAAGAGTAATTTGCTGGAGGTAAGCCAATTCCAAGAATATTTACGTGTGAATAATCATGTTCTGACATTTCTGTTTCTGACAGCTGGAACCCATGTTTTACTAATATTCTTTCAAACTCCCCACATTTCTCTTTTAAAATGTTTGCTTAGTATCCATCATCTGGAGAAAAACTGAAATACCAGCAGCAAGAGGATGTACATCAGCTTCGTCAGAATTTTCACCGGCCCCAGATTCTGTACAACTCAGCTGAAAAAGAGCTCTGGTATGAGCGAGGGAAGAACCTGGACTTGAAACAGCATAATAGCTTACTTCAGGAAGAAAGCATTAAGGTAATTCTATTGGGCATAGCCTGGATTGGAGGGTCCAGTTGCTAATCGGCCCTGGGGATAAATGAATTCGAATTCCCCAACTGCAATATTTGTGATAGGACCCCCAGATGTGTGGGCAGTGTGAGCACTCTGACTTTGCCCTGCCAAGTAGGTACACAGTTCACTTGTTTCTCTGCTGCTGAAGGCGTGTGTATATTGTCAACTTATAAATGTGACAAACTTTTTTAAGTTACACAATCTTTTGAAATCATTAGCTAAAACTTTTAACACTTACTAAATTTGAATGACCTGACCCCAAACACTGGAGGTCCTGCCCTAGTTCTATCTATAGACTTATTTATCCCCAAGAGATTTATCCATTATTATTGGTTGAATTAAATATCAACTGCTCCGAGGTACAATTCATAGGAGGGTGAACTTGTTCTATCAGAAAGTTAGGAGGACATCCCCTAAACATGCTTGTTTTAAAATAACCCATGTAGAACTGCCATCCACAGAGTTCATCTAAATTTTATGAACCACATCAATATTCAAACTGAACCATCATATAAAATAATGCTTCCTTTTAATTGAAGTTCAATTCTGTAAACATACATTAAGGACCTAGTTTCTATTAAGTCCCTATCTAAAGTTCTGGAATTCAACATTCAACAAATATGTACTGAGCATCAGTCATAATCTAGGCAGGCAATCTTGTTGATATTGAGGGTTTAACAGTAGGTAGAATCGATAGAGTTCTTATCCCCTGGTCAGTAGCGTCCATGGGTCAAATCCTGCCTGCCTCTTGTTTTTGTAAATAAAGCTTTATTGGCACACAGCCACACCTGTTTGTACATATTATGGATGGCTGCTTTTGCCCTGTAGTAGCAGATTTGAGTAGTTCTGACAGAGACCACGTGGCCCACAAAGGCTAAAATATTTACTCTCTAGCCCTTTATAGGAAAATTTGTCACACCTAGTGTAGCGCGAACAAGGTACCTTCTTCAAAAAGTGACCTAAAAATGGATTATGAAAGGTCCCTATTTTTTAGGAACTCAATCTAGCAGGGGAGATACAGAGGAAAACAAGTAGTCATTTATGTCAAACTTTAAGGGAACCCCTTCTAGAAAGTCCTAGTATTCCAGGATTATTTGAAGAAACCTCTTATCCTCACCCTTCATGATTTTTTGAATATTGACCATATTCTCTCAAGCCTTTGTAGTTTTAAATTAAATTCCAAATCTTTATCATATTTCCTTGTAAGACAGCCTTTCACTTTTCCTTTCAAACACATTTCTGAGATCATTTTAACTGTCTAACTCTGAATACGTTCAAGCAATACTACATCTTTCTCAAGGTGTAATGACCAGAGCAACACAGATTATGACACCTCATCTGTGGTTGGCACCCTGGAAACCCTAGAAATATTTGTTGAATTAATGAGTGAGTCCTTCAGGGATGGGTAAATGATAGATTGGTAAAAGAAGAAGATATTTTTTGTTCTGTTTTAAATACTCTTCATGGTGAGGTAAAATACTGGACATTTCAATAGTAAGACATCAGCGTTTTGGCTGGTTCCTTAAGCCAGGCACCTAAATGGAGTCATATACAATAACCAACTACCTTTTATTGACAGTTTGTCCACTTTATCTCTTATAAACCTCCCTACATCCCTGAAAGGTCAGCATTTTATAGATGAGAAACTGTCCAAGGTTGCAAAGCTAACACATCGTGGAATCAGAATTTAAGTCCAGGTCTGTTTCTCTCTTTCCTGTGATTCTCTTTCCATATTACACCTCTCCTCAATTTGGGGTCATCTAGGAATCTCAGCTTTGCAAACTTAGAGCTCACTTTTTAAAATCCAGTCAGAGATGATCAAACTCTGGGTTTCTGGCTAACATTAGACATACTTATTAATTAAGAAACTAGAATATTAATGTATTGCCTTTAAACCATTTTATTATGACATAGGAAACTCAGAAAGTACATAAAACATGAATATATAGTTTAACAAATTGTTGTAAAGTGATCACCCATATAACCTCCACCCAGGATGAGAAACAGTACATTGCCCACATACTAACAGCCCCTGCCTGCCTCTTTCCCATTGTAATCCCATCGCCTTCCCAGTTTAGCAGTAACCACTAATTTTTATAATAACCCTCTTACTTTACTTTATAGTTTCACCACCCATGTATGAATCTCACACAATATAGCTCAGTTTTGCCTCTTCTTGAGTGTTTTACAAATATAATCAATCAGTATATGCATCTTGTGTCTCTCTTCTTATGACCTACTTTGTTGAGAAGGTTCATCCACATGGTGGCGTATAGCTATTGTTCATCCATTTTCTTTGCAGTATAGTATTCCACCACAAGAAATTGCCATTCTTTATTCTCTCCATGGTTTATGGACATCTTGTATGTTTCCAGCTTGGGGCTATTAAGAAGAATGCTATAGGCTTGCAGAGCTTCAGGCAGAGAACTGTTCTGCCACCAACACTGAGACACCGTACTGGATCCTCTTACTAGTGCTTGAATACCCAAATCTAAAGCCAAAGAAGCCCTCCTAGATGCATGTCATTGGCCATAATAGTGTTTGCTCCACTGTCATCTCATTCCATCATCACCAGCATGACCAAAATGCTGCATGTTAGCTCTATGACTAGTGATCACAGGTCCCAGAGGCCTTTAGCTTTCTTGACCTATGGTGGAGGTGGACAATATATTATGAAAGGACTTGTACCTTTTCTATTTACAGTAAGAAGTTTAGATCTTATAACCCTGAACTAATCAAATGCACCAAATATTCCAACACTTGCTTTCTTCTTTTCTCTGATTTCTTTGTTTCTTTTCCTGTTCATTAGATCTGCATGTGTCTTGCCTGAGTTTTTCACAGCTACATTGTTCTTTCTTGTTTTTTTTTTTTAACCTCCTAATCCCCTTCACCTTTTTGCCCATCCCCCGCCTCTCTCTGGTAATAACCAGTTTGTTCTTTGTATTTATGAATTCCTTTCTGTTTTGTTTTGTGTTTCACATTCCACATATAAGTGAAATCATATATCTTTCTCTATATGTGGCTACATTGTTCTTGCAAAATGAAAGTTCCTGTCTAATGGGTTAGAGTGCCTTTTGAGAAGACATCAAGATTTAATAGGTTTGTTCCTGTCAATGAAGTTTTGAAAGCTGTACCAATCCTCCAAAATAAAATGAGAAAATTAAAAAAAAATGAGAGAGGTTGAACTGATTTAGAGTGGTGGGACAAGGGGGATAAAGGAGGATTTTTCACTGGAAAAATAGGAAGCTTATTAAAGCTTGATCTGTAATTCCTTAATACTGAAGAGACTAGCTTATTACAGTAGTTTTTTCCTATTGATCTACATTGACCACCAATGATATCAAGGCATATTACTCTCTTAGGGTTTAATTTCTTCATTTCTCTGCACATTCATTTCTACTATGTTTAATAAATTATTTTGGTCATTTTTACATGTCTGTTAACATTTTTGGAGATGGCATATCTGGTCTTTAGAAATTAATACAAAAGCAGGTATCATAAGCTTAGAGCTCTGGATGCTTGAGCGGCTTTTATCCAAGGACCTTTGCTTTTAAACAGAGAGCATAAGAGCACATTATTTCAGATATATTCATTTATTGAACATAAGACTCTTTCCTAAATAGTGAGATGTACAAAAGGATCTGAGTAATGCCTCCACTTTTTAAAAACTGCTGTGAACACCCATGTGCATACATCCTGATGTCCATCCATAGTATGTATTTCTCTAGGAAGAGAGTGGGAGTAGAATTATTGCACTGTAGTTTATATATTACTTCAATTCCTGCTAAAGGTATATATGCCCACGAACAGGTATGAAGGTCCATATTGCTCTACATCCTCACCAACTCTTGGCACTGTCAAACTTGACAGTTTTTGCTAATCTCATATATGTGTATCGTGGTAGCTCCTAGCAGTTTTAATGTGCATTTCCCTGTTTACAAATAAAACTGAGCAGCTTTCTATATATTTATTTGACATTTGACATTTGAGTCCCTATTTTGTGAAGCACTTGTTCAAGATTTCATTTACTTTTCTTTGGGGCTTCTGTCTTTTTCATTTTCCCATTAATTTATAGGAATTCTTTATATATGAAGCCTTCATCAGGTGTGTATTACAAACATCTTCTACCCTATGGCTTATCTTTTCACTCTCTAAATATATGTTTTGAGGGATGCCTGGGTGGCTCAGTCAGTTGGGTGTCTGCCTTCGGCTCAGGTCATGATTCTAGTGGGATCAAGCCCTGCATCGGGCTCCCTGCTCAGTGGGGAGTCTGCTTCTCCCTCTCCCTCTGCTCCTCCTCTTTGCTCCTGCTCTCTCTCTCTCTCAAATAAATAAATAATCTTAAAAAAAAAAAAGAGGGGCGCCTGGGTGGCTCAGTAGTTAGGTGTCTGCCTTCGGCTCAGGTCATGATCCCAGGGTCCTGGGATCGAGCCCCGCATCGGGCTCCCTACTCAGCGGGAAGCCTGCTTCTCCCTCTCCCACTCCCCCTGCTTGTGTTCCCTCTCTCTCTGTCAAATAAATAAAAAATCTTTCAAAAAAAAAAAAAAAAGAAAGAGATCTTTGTTGACCTCAAAGACATAAAGATATTCTCCAACATGACTATATTGTTACCTGGGTCATAAGAATATTGGTATATATGTGGTCTATTTCTGAGCTCTCTATTCTGTTCCATTGTCCTATTTTGTCTATTCTTGTGCCATTAACATGCTACCTTAATTACTTTAGCTTTATGTAAATCTTAATATTTGATAGAACACATCTTTTCATCTTGTGGTTCTTGTTCTAGGATGCCTTGGCTATTCTTGGCCACTTGAAATTCTATATAAATTTTGTCAACAGCTTGTCAAGTAACATGCGTATACCCACATGTACTCACACACACACATATATACATACATAACCTTTTGGGATTTATACACTGAATTTATACACCAGATCTATAGATAAATTTAGGAAGAATTTAAATCTTTACAATATCAAATCCTCTACGAAATGTGTGTGTATTATATTTAGGTCTTCTTTAATTTCTCCCAATATCATAATTTTCTTTGTGGAGGTCTTATACATCTTTTGTTAGACATATTCCTAGGTGCTGATACTTTCCATACTATTGTAAATGGTAACTTTTTAAAAATCTCATTTTCTAACTATTGCTAATACATAAAAATGCAATAATTTTTCTAATAAAAGACTTGCCATACTTTTAAATTACTTCTTATAATTTATGTTTATATCATTTTGTATTTTATGTGTAAGTAATCACATCATCTAAGAATAAATATAATTTTCTTTCTTCCCTTCCACATGTTACACCTTTCATTCTTTATTCTTGTTCTAAGCAGTAGCTAGTATAGTGCCAAATAGAGCTGGTGATAATGGGTATATTTTCTCCTTCCCAGTCTCAAAGGAAAAGCTCTCAAATTTCATTTAATATGTTTTTATAGGTTTTTTTAATAGACTTTTAAAAATCACATTAAGAAAATTCTTTTCTAGTGTTCATTCAATGTTTTATGATGAGCACATGTTGAATTTCATCAAATTCTTTTTCTGCATATTTTGATTTTTAAATCTGTTAATATGGTGAATTACATTGACTGATTTTCTAATGTTAACTCAATTTTGCATTCCTGGGATAAACCCAACCTCATCCTAAATTATTATCCTTTTTCTACATTGCTGATTTTAGCTTGCCAGTGTTTCTTTGGAATTTTTGCATCTTAGTTCACAAATGAGACTGGCCTGTCATTTTCCTTTCTTATAACATCCATGTCAGATTTTGGCATCAAGGTTACGCTAGCCCCTTAACATGAGATGGGTAACATACCCTCTTTTTCAGTTCTCTGGAAGAGTTTGTAAAAATAAATTACAATTATTTCTTCTTAAATAATTGCAAGAACTCATTTCTGAATCCTTCTGATTCTAGAGTTTTCTTGGAAAGATTTTCAGTGACTGACTCAGTTTCTTAATAGTTATACGAAGTCACATTCTTTTATTTCTTCTTGTATCAACCTTGGTTTATTTTATTTTTATTGACATTTTTCATTTAAATTCTCAAAAATTTTAGTAAAAAGTTAGTCATCAATTTTTAAATATAGAGATGGTCCTTTTTACTTTCATGGTACTAAATAACCTGTGATTTAAAAGAGATGGGTGAGAGGAAAAAAAGCGGGGGTGCCTGGTTGGCTCAGTTAAGCCTCCAACTCTTGATTTTGGCTCAGGACATGATCTCAGGGTTGTGAGATGGAGTGGGTTCCATGCTGGACGTGGAGCCTGCTTATGATTCTCTCTCTCCCTCCAACCCTCCCACCCTCCCGCCATGTACTCACTCTCGAAAGAAAGAAAGAAAAAAGAACACTTGGGCTGCAATGTAGAGAACAGATAAGAAGGGGGCTAAAATGGAAGTGGCAAGACCACGTTGTTATTGCAATGACCCAGGCTAGAGACGATGATGTTGTAGACAAGGGTGGTGGACACGGATGGGTGGATGCCGAGGCATGTTGTGAAGGCAGCATCCCAGTGGGTGCCGAATGGGCTCATGATGGGAAAAGAAGACTCAGGATGGCTCTCAGACTACGGGCTTGAACAAAACCTTAGATGGTGGCATCCTTTACTGAAATTAGGAAGACTGAGAGAGAAAAACTATTTTTGATATGGAGAGACTCAAGGAGTTTTATTTTGACAGTTATTGGCATGAAGGTGGTATCTCAAATCATGACAGTGAACCTAGGGAGAAAATGATCCACTCTCAAGGCCTAGGGTAGTCCACTGATATTTAGAAGTTGGATCGCATTAGAGTAGTCTACACAGGAAGGAGCAGAAAGGAACAGCAAAGAGATAGGAGAATACCAGGAGAGTTCAGTATCACAGACTCCAAAAGAACTTTCTGAGATGGAGGGAGTGAATGGTACCTAAGAGCTCAGTTGTCCTTTGGATTCATTTTGGCGGTGGGGAGATCAGTAGTGCCTCTGGCATAAACAGTTTCATGGAGTACTGGAATGAAATCCAGCTTGCAGTAGATTGAAAAAAAGGATGGAAAATGTTCAGACCATGCGTGCATAGAACCACTTAGGAAAATTCCTCTGTCCAGCTGCCATCTGGCTAGATAGACTTTGGCAAGCCTTCCGAACACATGACAGCTCCAGAGAGGTAATCATCCATGTGACACTGGTTATTTGTCAGCTCTTGGGGGACAGCACTGCTATGAAAAGTGCTTGTTCTGGCTCACATTCATCTTCTTTCCATGCTTATTTCTATCACTCTTGTTTATTCCCCACCTCTAGATCAAAATTGAACTAAAGCAGGCCTAGCAGAAGTTATTAGATAGCGCAAAGATGTGCTCTTCACTCACAGCAGAATGGATGCACTGTCAGCAGAAAATCAGGGAACTGGAGCTGGAGGGACTCACACAGGCTCAGAGCATTAAATCACAGAACAACCTGCAGGAAAAGCTGGCTCAGGAGAAATCAAAATGTCCTGATGCAGAGGCAAAGGTAATTATCCTCATGCTTAATAAATAGCATGCACTGGATACCACTTCTGAAATCCTGTTTCCCTAAGGATTTTAAGAAGTAGCTATGATGCAAACTTGATAGAATTCTAGGGTTTTTCTTTGCTCTTCCATGCTCTCCTCTCTTTTGACTTCACCTGCTCCTGCAGTTCCAGTAAATCTCTTGTTTCTTTAAACTGCGTGAACTTTAAAAGGTAGGTTTCATTGAAGCTATAACGTGAATTTAAAGAACTGATTAAAGCCATTTGACTCTTGTTTTATACTTTCAACTTTTAAAAGATTTATTCTCCTCTCATTTATCTGTTTATATGATTTTTATTTTGTAATTTTGGGGGGATTTGTGTTGTGAAATGGACATTTTGGAATAATGCCCCTGCTTTTCAGACTGTCTAACACCAGGTGGCAGTAGTAGGTAACAGTTGCACATTTTGATCTGTGGGTTTGAGTCCAATCTCACATAAAAAAATAAATCATAAAATAAGTAAATAAATCATTTCATCAGACCATATAAATATAAAACAAACATCAAAAAGTAGATGACAGCAATCTTAATGATGCTCAAAAGCCTAATTTTGAGCTAAAGAAACCAGAACAAGAGCGTTCATACTGTGTAATTTTATTTATATGAGGTTTAAGAATAGACAAAAACTCAGCTGTGATCAGAGGATGGTGGTTGTCTTTATGAGGGTTACTAACTGGGAGAGGATGAGAGGGAATCTTCTGTGGTGCTGGGAGTATTCTATATCTTGATGTGAGAGGTGCTTGTTTAAGTAAAACTTTATTCAGTATGCTTAAGATATGTGCACTTTATGTATGTTATTACTCCATTAAAAAGTGGTTGGTAATTACATATTAGTAAGAAAATCTAAGTTTAGTAAAAAAAAAAAATCTGAATTTAGATAGTACTAAATATTGGTGAAGATTTTGTGCAACAAGGACTCATATATTGACTGCAGTTGAAAGAATAAATTAGTACATACACTTTGGGTTTTGTTTGGTTTTTTTTTAAAGATTTTATTTATTTATTTTACAGAGAGAGAGAGTTAGCAAGAGCAGAAACACAAGCAGGGAGAGTGGGAGAGGGAGAAGCAGGCCTCCCGCGGAGCAGGGAGCCCGATGCAGGGCTCGATCCCAGGACCCTGGGACCATGACCTGAACTGAAGGCAGATGCTTAATGACTGAGCCACCCAGGTGCAGGTGCCCCTGGTTTTTTTAAAGATATATTTATTTATTTTAGAGGAGAGAGCACACATGAGAGCCAGGGTGGGGGCTGGAAGAGGAAGAGGAAAGAGAGAAAATCCTCAAGCAGACAGCCTGCTGAGCACAGAGCCCCATGTGGGGCTTGACCCCAGGACCCCAACATCATGACCTGAGCTGAAATCAAGAGCCAGACACTTAACAGACTGAGCCACCAAGGCACCCCAGTATAAACACTTTGGAAAGCAATTTGGCATTTGTATTTAGTTAAGTTAAAGACATATATATCATTCAACCCTTCTACTACTGGGCATAAATACTAGAGAAAGTGTTATACTGCACATATGTGTCAGGAGATAGGAATAAAATCATTTATATAGAAACATTGTTCCAAATAGCGGAAAATTGGAAGCAACCCAAACGTCCACTGACATAAGGTAGAATAAATAAACAATGGCATAAAACAGTGAAAATAGATGAATTATAGGTACATGCTGTATTTCAACATATATTGAATAAAAACCAAATTACCAAAAACACAGTATGATTCCATTGATATAAAGGTCAAAATGGTGGGCAATAAAACCCATGTTATATAGATTATATATTCAAGAAAAAGCAAGAAAGTGATTAATACAAGGGGGGATAATCGACAAGGTCCCAGAGTGGACTTCAAAAGTATTGGAAATATCCTTTTCTTAAATTGGGTGACAGGTTCAAACCTTTGCATATGTCCTTGGTAGAGAAGCCAACAGGGTCATATTGTCATTTGTGGAATTAAGAGTGAATATCTTTAAGGAAACATTTTCCCTAAGTAGAACCAAGTGGAGGCAGTTCAAAGGAACTTGAGTTGGCCTCAAGACGACTGGCTGTCCACTGCCACTGACCTTGAATCAATCTGCATCTTTACTTCTCCTGTGGTTCCTGGGCTCTGCAAGGACCTAGGACTGATGCATAAAGCCCTGCTCCTAAAAAAGGACTGCCATCCACTCGCATTCAGTGAATGTTTGTGGGGAATATGGTGCCAAACCATTGTAAAGTATGCATTGTCAGATCAAGAATATATTTGAGAGACAATAGCTATTCTGCTAAAAACTAGTCATTCAACAAATATTTATTGAGCATCTACTATGTACCAGTACATGGCATACAAAATTGTGTCACAATTTTGGGTGACACAAGGCTTTATAAAAAATAGGTAAACAAAAATAGACTTATCTAACAAAAAAATTTTAATGATACTTTTAATCTAACATGTAAATTCTAAAATAAAATTATATATCTCTCTTTCAAATTCATAAGTATTATTTTTAGTTCTACCAAAGCATTGAAGAAGGTATTACTGGTGCTAGGTGATATGCTAGTAGGTAATAATGGTTTGTAGGAGACTTCTGCTTTGTTTTAAAATCCTATCGTGAATCTAGCCACACTGTGAAGAAACTAGACATGCTCACACATTGCTGTTGGAAGTATAAGTTGGCCTAATACCTATGGAGCCAGTTTGGCATTATCTATTAAACAAACAAATAATAACCTTTGCCCTAGCAAATTCATATCTCATAATTTATTCTAGAGCAATTGTTTGTATTAGCGAAAGTTTGGAATCAATTTCAATATCCCATCAGTAGGAATCTACTTAAATAAATTATAGCATATCCTTATTGTAGAATGGTATGCGGCTTTAAAAGAGAAGGCAATTGTACATAATCATATAATACAGAAAAATCACCAAATGTATTGTTATTTTTAAAAAGCAAGGTGCAGGGGTGCCTGGGTGGCTCAGTCAGTTAAGCCTCCGACTCTTGATTTCAGCTCAGGTCATGGTTTCAGGGTTGTGAGATCGAGCCCCTTATGGGGCTCTGCCCTGAGGTGGAGCCTGCTTAAGAGTCTCCCTCTGCCCCTCCCCCCAAAAAAATTTAAACAAAAAATAAAGGTGCATAAGTATGTATGATATGCCATCATTTGTGTAAAAAATATGTGTATGAGGAGAACTGTATAATAATTTTATTTATGTGGGCATAAATAAATCTCTGGAAAGATACACAAGAAACTAATACCAGTGATTACCTATGTGGTAGAGGAAAACTAGCAGGAAGACAGGATAGAGATGGGAAGTTTTCACTATATAACTTCGTTTACACAAGTATACACTAAACTATGTGAATGTATCACATATCGTAAAACTTAGGTAATTTATTTTAAAATTAAAATAAATCTGGCCATGCTCTTTACTTTAGACCAGATTTGTTTGTTAGCACGATGTTTGCTAGTTACTCATAGGGTATTTCCCTAATTGGAAAAAAGGTCAGACTTTCCTTAATGTTTTATTCATGAAATTTTTCCTTCAAGATTTTGGACCTGCAGCAGAAATTAGAACCTGCTCAAAAAGTCTGTCTCACCGACACTTGTATTTTGGGGAAGAAGCAACTAGAGGAAAGGATAAAAGCACTGGAAACTGAATCTAAAACAAAGCAAAAATATCAGGAAGAACAGCACAAGAGGTAAGAGGAACAAAGATGTCAGTTTCAACTGGGCTAACCACTGAGTTTACCAGCAACATCAGTTTACCCATGCATTTCCTCAGTGTCCCCAGTGAAGTGAACTCAGTTACACAGCTTCTTATCACACTGTATTCTAGTTGTTTTTCTTGTTTGCCTTTCACACTAGAGTGTCAAATTCTTTTTTTTTTAAGATTTTATTTATTTATTTGAGAGAGAGAGAATAAGAGATAGAGAGCACGGGAGGGAAGAGGGTCACAGGGAGAAGCAGACTCCCTGCCGAGCAGGGAGCCCGGTGCGGGACTCGATCCCGGGACTCCAGGATCATGACCTGAGCCGAAAGCAGTCGCTTAACCAACTGAGCCACCCAGGTGCCCTAGAGTGTCAGATTCTTTTTTTTTTTCATTTTTATTGTTATGTTAATCACCATACTTTACATCATTAGTTTTTGATGTAGTGTTCCATGATTCATTGTTTGTGCATAACACCCAGTGCTCCACGCAGAATGTGCCCTCTTTAATACCCATCACCAGGCTAACCCATCCCCCCACCGCCCTCCCCTCTAGAACCCTCAGTTTGTTTTTCAGAGTCCATCGTCTCTCATGGTTCGTCTCCCCCTCCGATTTACTCCCCTTCGTTCTTCCCCTCCTGCTATCTTCTTCTTTTTTTTTTCTTAACATATATTGCATTATTTGTTTCAGAAGTACACATCTGTGGTTCAACAGTCTTGCACAATTCACAGCGCTCACCATAG